TGCTCTCCAGAGTTATTGCTAAGAGCAGCGGGTTCTATATTGAAGTGCTAGATTTGCCATGTGTAGAGGTGCAGTACTGAGAGATGCTGGGTGAAGCAAGGGTTAARCAAAGCCAAACTGTTCACTGAAGGATAGTCAGAGAATGACAGGGTACTGGCCAGGCAGTGCATTAGATGTATGCATCCCTGTCACTGATATCACACTTGAATTGGGAGTGGATTTGGTTTCTTTCTATAACCTTTTATACTTGAGGTAGCCAACAGGTTCAGTCATTCTGAAGATAAGACTTGGATTTCTATAGAGTGAAAATACAGAATATGGCATCACTTAGTTTTAGCGGAGCTGCCAGTCCCTGTCTAAACTATCATGCTTTGGTTTTCATTTTTCTTGTTCCATTCTGTCAGTCAAACAGGGAATTTGGGATTTAGGGATTTTGTCCATCTGGTTTTACTTGTTTTTACCRTTTTATTATTATTATTATCATCCAGAAAGAAGGTAGATTTCACTCTTTATATATACATCTCCCAAATGCCAGTACAGAATACAGAGATACAAACTTTCTAAAAAACTTCAAGAGTTTTTTGTTTTCATTTTTTCTTTTGGGGTTTGGGCTATCTGGCAGACACTGATTCCCTCCCTATGGCAATTAAAATAGTTCTGTATTGTAACTGATAAAGGTGCCCTTAATACAAGTCCACAACAAGGAGCATTGTGTGCTGTGACAATTATTCATTAGACGTCCAGTCACAGACAGATGGTGCTTCATCCCCACCTTCTCTCAAGACAGCATAAGACAGCATCGTCCTGTTGGGAATTAATGGAAGTGCCATTCACAGTAGATGCTAGGTTCTGGTAGCAATTTTGTTACTGCATTRCAGATGCTGAAGCTACTGCTTACAACTCACACTAGAAGGAAGAATTGCACAAGGAGAAGCAAGACATTCAAAAACCAAAGTGAGGAGCACAATACAAGAACCTGTTCTTCTCAGGGCATAAGCTTAGTGATAGACTACTCTTACCTTTTTGGGACCAAAAGGTCATGGTCAAGGGGGAAAAGACATCTGAAAGGGAGATAAGGAAGGGCAAGAAGAGGAGCCAAATGAAACACTAGGGTAGAGAAAAGATGTCTGAAGATGAAAGAAAAAGGAGAAGAGAGAGAGGGAAAAAAAGAAAAGGATCAAGTGGGGATCAAGTGGAAACTTAAGAAAAATTCATTATACAGCAGAGAGAGTGGCTTTTCTCCAGGATGGCCAAAGCATCACAGCTTCAGAAAATCAGCACTATGAAGCAAGGTCAGAGAGTGATACCTATGAGAGTAGGTTATTCTGTACAAAGGGGGACTTGCACCAAAATGTAGACCCCAGAATAGGTTCTACATTAACATGATGGCAATTTTCCCATTATATGTTTAGAGAAGAAACTTCAGGTCTTAGACTAAAGACTAAGATTAAATTTAAGATGTTCTCACATATGCATAAAGTGGGCTAAGAGGCACTTGGCCTCAAAATACAACTTGTGTTACAACACCTCTGTCATATTTTTTTCTTTCAGTAGTGTACTCATTTACTATGGTCTGCAAATGCCAATAAATGAGAGAGGAAACCGAAGGACCTCTCTTTTTAAAAAGTCACTAGGGTATGCAAAGCTTTTTGTCTTTATGAGAAACTCCTAAATTTACTGAGTGGGTGGCAAATGCAGCTAGATATTGCACAGTCCTGAATCACAAACCTTGTAACAACCAGCACTGCTAAGTCACCAACTTGTCAAAGGAGAGTGAGTCTAACCCTGCATTTCATATGAGGTTTCTTAGGGAAGAAAGGGAAGAAAGGTAAGAGAGGAAAGAATGAAGATTTTCAGATCTGTTTGTCAAACCTGAGAAGTCATATCCCTGCAAAAGATCGTAGATGGCAAGTAGGAAGATTTTCATAGAATCCTTAAGGTTGGAAGGGACCAAGTCCAACCCTCCTGTACACACAGGATCACCTAGAGCATATGGCACAGGGTTGTATCCAAGAGGGTTCTGAAGATCTCCAGAGAAAGAGACTCCATCACCTCTCTGGGCAGCCTGTTTCAGGGCTCTCTCATTCTCACTTTTCCTTACATTTCTGCAGAACTTTTGGTGCTTCAGTTTGTGGCTGTTTCCTCTAGTCCTATAGCTGGTCACCACTGAAAAGAGGCCTGCCCCATCTTCTTCACTCCCTCCCTTGAGGTATTTATACACACTGATCAGATTCCCTCCTTAGTTTTCTCTTCTTCAGGCTGAACAGGCCCAGCTCTCTCAGTCTTTCTTCATAGGGCAGATGCTCCAGGCCTCTGATCATCCTCGTAGCGCTGTGCTGACTCTCTGACTCTCTCCAGCAGCTCCACATACCTCTTCTATTGGGAAGCCCAGAACTGGACACAGTCTCCAGATGTGGCCTCACCAGGACTGCGTAAAGGGGGACGATCACCTCCTTTGACCTGCTGGAGATGCTCCTAATGCACCCCAGGATCCCATTGGCCTTCTTGGCCATGAGGGCACACTGCTGACTCATGGTCAACTTGTCGTCTACCCAGGTCCCTCCCTGCAGAGCTCCTCCCCAGAAGGTCAGTCTGCAACCTGTCTTGGTGTCTGGGATTATTCCTCCCCAGGTGCAGGACCCTGCACTTGCCCTTGTTGAACTTCATGAGGTTTCTCCTCACCCAGTTGTCCAGTCTGTCCAGGTCTTTCTGGATGGCAGCACAGCCCTCAGGGCTATCAACTTTTCCTCCCAGTTTGGTATCATCAGCAAACTTCCTGAGGGGGCACTCCATCCTTTCATCCAGGTCACTGACGGATAAATTTAACAGGACTGGACTGAGGACTGACCCCTAGGGGGACACTGCTCACCACAGGCCTCCAACTGGACCTCAGTGCCACCGATCACTGCCATCCATCCATCAATCCAGTTCCCAACCCACCTCACCATCTCCTCATCTATCCCACATCTCCAGAGCTTGCCCAGGAGGATGTTGTGAGGGACAGTGTCAAAAGCTTTGCCAAAAGCCAGACAGATGATATCCACTGCTTTCCCCTCATCTATCCAGCTCGTCATTCCATCATAGAAGGCTATCACTTTAGTCAAGTATGCTTTCCCCTTGGTAAATAAATGCTGACTTTGTGAAAGAATAAAACAGTACAAAAATAATGGAAAGAAGGAATGCCTTACAAAAGGCAAGAAATATTAAACTTTAAAAGATCTACAAAACAAATACACTGTTGCTTCATTAAAAGATTTAAAAAAATGGAGCAACAGACAAAATGCAAAGCAAACCAGAAAACAAGAGTAGTCTATCACTAGTGAGCTTGTGCACTGAGAAGTACCTTGAATCCAGTCTTAAAATTTTATATTACAACATATACTTTAGTGTTCATACTGAAGGTTTGGGAAATGGAGAATACTGTTAACATATCACAAGTCTCTGTACTTTATATCAACCAACTGCAATCACAGTAAAAAGTAGAACTATTAATCAAGAATACCACCTCTAGTTCAAAAAGCTCATGAGTTGTAAATCACTGGAGGCAGGAGGAGTGTACTAGGAAAGTCCAAGTGAAGGCTTGCCCCATTCTCTTGCTCTTATTTGTCGGGGTATTCACTTACCAGTAGACAACATGAATGAACCAGATGGGCAACAGAGATTTTTGGTCTGACCAGGGTGTCCATTTTTATAACTTTCTTTAATAAGAAATGACATGCCAAGGAGATGTAAGAGAAAGTATTCATGGCAGTATGTTTGACAAGACACTTTTCTAGGATAAAGAGGTTTTGGCTAGAGTCAAGGACAAAATAGATTGATATCTACATAGTTATCTTGCACTCCAGTCAAACCTATATACTTGTCACATCCTGCAGCATCACTTGTTGCTGCAATTTTGCATCCTGACAAATCCAAGCTTGTATTTTTCATTGCTCACTTGTATAGTTCTCTATACACTTGCAGGCTTAGATACTCTTTTCATTTTCATTTGCAATATTCTTTACTGTTCTAAATGTGGACCTTTCTTGACTATTTATTGCATTGTCAGGAAATTTTGCTGATTGTCTAATTGCATTCAGCTTGGATGGCAGAGGAAAACAGATATTTCTTTCTTTTATTGTCTAAAATATTCAGTTTCAGAGATACATCATGAACTTTTAAATCTAAGTTTTAGTCTCCACCTCTTTTTTTTTCTCATTCTTTATGTTCAGCTCTGCCAGTGCAATTGTTTCTTGATTTGTAGTATGTCTTCAGATTTCAGTATTAACACAACCATATTTTTAATGTACTCTGAAGGAGCATAGGGGTCAGCAGTAAGCAATTAATTTGGCCAGGATGTTAACTGGCTTGCCACTGTAGACTCCTTCTTCAGTCCATATGGAAATATCGGATCCTTCAGTCTGCTTCAGAGCATACAGAAAATATACTTACATTACCATAAAATACATTTCTCTAGCCATTCAAGCAATAAGAATCTTAAGTGTGGAAGTTACTAGTTGTGCTAAATTCCAGACTGTACAAACTGATATTTTTGGTAGTCCAAAGTAACTTGCGTTCAAGTCTTTCTAGCATAATTTGCTGTACTACAAAGATATTGTCCCATAAGAGTCCTAAGAGGTTAACTCCTCACTAAACTATATATTGTCCTTTAAATCTGCACATGTGCTTCAATAAGCGAGGTGCTATGCAGTTGCCTGAATAAATTGCAAACATTTGCACCACTGTTCAGTCTGCTTAAGCAAGATTCATTTTACAAACAACTCAACACAGACTTAACGTCCAGCAGCTCCAAAAAACAGCAACAACAAAAGATGTCCAGGTGCAAACAATATAAGCACTTGATGTCTGAGGGCAAACAATATGTGAGCAACATCAAAGTTTCTTTTTATTTTTCTTTTTTAAGTCTGTCTTCAATGCCACAAGTATACTCAAACTCAGTTTCCCAGCTGTTGTTTGTCTTGTTTTTAATCTGCCGTTAGTATCTATAAAAGAGAACTTACCTTGATCTTCCGAAGAGGCCGGTGACCTGGAATAAAACAACAAAGTCTGGTCAATCTTTTGCATGAAAAGGCTACAAATAATGTTCAGGGTCACTGTGGGGAATAGGATATGGAAGAATTGGTAGGTCTTATTTAGAGGTTTTCTTAGAAGGGAGGATAGGAAGGCAGCTAACATGAGAAGAAAAAAAAATAAGGAAAAAAAAAAAAAGAAAAAAAGGAGAATAGGGCACAGACCTGTGCTAGCAGCTTGTCATGCAGACCAGAGCAGCAGGTGTATGGAATCACATCCAAAAAGCAACCGACTGTGATCACATTATGAAGTACTCATGCCAAGAATTTCTCCAGGTACTTGGCAAGAACCTTATCTACTACTGTTCCTGCTGGAAATAGCTGAGTACTAATGGTAACCGGTGAGAAAGTGCTGATTCTCCTGACATCATTACAGAGACAGACGTGTATGCTTGGGGGAAACCTCGCTACTAGAGCTGATGAAGGAAATAAAAGCTTCAGAGGAACTCATAATCATTAGGGAGACCGTATTGCTTATCATGAGTCAGTGTTGACAGTATAGAATGCTAGCCCTGGTTAAAATTAAAATCTGGTGACCTTTTCACAAAATCAACATAAACAGGAACAAAAACAGGAAAAAAAAGTGGGGAGTTGTAAAATAGGAGGGACTTGTTAATGCTCTTGCTGATGAACAGAACGGATCTTGCAGATGAATTCAACGCATTTGTCTGACAGCTCCTGTAACTATAGGTTATACTCTGCATCATTTTGTTCAGCACCCACAGCAGAAGAACACAGTGTAAGATGTTGGCACATCACTTTTCTTTTTGCTGCAGTAGCTTGGCTCAGCACATCTGGGGCCCAGATCCTGAGATGTCCTTGGTTATTCTGGCTCACACTGCACTACAGAGTGGAGAGGACATTGCCTCAGCATTTCCCCCAAAATGACTTTCAGCTGCACATATGGCCTTCCTGCTAAGGTAAGAAGGACTTAGCTCCTACAAATGGTAAAACTTGTGCCTTCCTTCCAAAATAATTTTATACTAAAGTACAAAAGTAATAGGTTAGCAAAGTTAATGTTAATGTTGCCAGAAAAGTGACCAAGACTGGCGTGAGACAAGGAGCCAGAGAACAGGAAAGCACACGAGGAACAAAGGGGAGTGTATGTAYATTTGACAGAGTCAGCATGGAAGATGGGTCAGCAAAGGGTTAAAAACTTTAAGCTTTAAGCTTTAGAGGAATAAATGAACTAAGGAAGCAGTCATGATCTCATTCTATTATAGGTCTGAAGATGAAGGCCTAGGGATTATAGGGCATCTGAAGCAGATATGCAAATACATAGACACAAACAGGAAAGATGGAGAGAAAGGAAGGAGGCTTCCCTAATGAGGTATGCAAATTTCTATTTTTAAAAGAGAGAGATTTGCAAAGAAAGAGAGGAAAGAGTTATAGCACAGCTGGAGCAATGGTCACAGTCAAAGGAAAAATGTGATTGCCTAATTAAGATTCTTACTGTGCTAGAAGCCAACGTACCTGTATGGGTCCAAATTAATTAATCCTCTTCTCCCATTAAATCTTCCGACTGCTGCTGAACATCCTACACTTTTACCCTGCTCTGCTGCCTGAAACTTCAGCCATTTCCATCAAAACACAATGGGAATGCAGGTACCCCAGAGCATAAGCAAGCATCCCTAGGACTTGGCCCCACTACTTTGGCAAGTTACAGGCCTTCCTCCCACATATYCCCAACAGAAGCCTTCTTAAAGGTCAAAACTCAGCACACAACATTTCCTACAAGGTTAAATAGTGCAGGACAAGACATAGATAGTGACGCAATTTTAAAGTTCTTAAAATATTTTTACCTCTGAAGGCATGCCAAGTTCCTCAGCTCATATATTCTGATCATCTACCTGTTGCTAATGCAGTATTCTACACCGCTAGTAGCATTTCATCTTTTGGTTTGCTTCTTAATCACACCTTTTATCATCGTGAAGTTTCACCACCTTCCACGTCTTTATTTGGAATGATGATATAAAACAGTACAAATTATTCTATAATTTGGCTCTTTTATTATGTAAAGTACTTAGAGGAGCAGTAAAATAAAGGTCCTAAAACATCAACGAGATATTATCATAATTCTACCACCTTCTCATTTAGAACATTAAAGTGAGAGTTGAAGAATATATTTATACCCATTTTGATGTGCACATATTTCAAAATCACTGTTTCCTTTTTGAAATACATATGCCATATATGTAGCTTGCATATAGGCAACACAGCAAAAGCATATGTTGCATGCTTTTGAAGTTAATGCATGAACAGTAATGAATGTAATAGGTATTACTGTTGCTCCTAGCAGTGTTTTTATTTGAAAGGCTTCATCAGGCATCTTCTGGAATTCAGTAGCCTGGTTTCCTGAGGAAATAAGGTTTATGTAATCACAGCACTTCAGCATGTATGTGTCTATCTGCCTCACCCTAATAAATTTTGAGCCTGTTGGCTGATTTTACCCATCATTAGCAGAGTGGGGGAGACCCAATTACTGCTTTCACTGGGAAAAGCAATAGCAAAAACTTTCACAGACAGCGGAGAAGACCCAAATAGAGGTTTTGAATATCTCAGGCACAGGAAAGCCTCAGTGAGAGCTTCCATCTTTGGATGCTAAAGGATCAACCACAATAAACTTGGCCTCCTTTATTCCACTACTCACCAAAAGAGGATTTTGGCAAAGAGTGGAAGAGCCCTTCTGCCCTCTCCTATGACTTCAGGCCATACATTTCAGCAGAGGAAGAAATTTTCCAAATCATTCAACACTGGGCTACCTACACCAGTGAGAATCTTGCTAGTAAAATAAGGAAATGAGGCTGCTGAACCCTTTTAAAGTYTACACTAATAGTGTTGGACATTTTATGCATGCTCTTGTCTACTCTATGCTTATGACAGGTTCCAGGGGAAGAAAAASTAAGTCTAATGATCTGCTCTAAACTACATACACTCATTCCACAGCCACAGGGGACTTTTCTGACAGCAAAAATTCAGGTGGATGCTCATATTTCTGGTCACACATCTCTCTCTCTGTTCTGTAAGGAGTGTGAAAGAAATACGATGGCAGCCCTGGTCACCAAGGGGGTGTCCCAAGCAGGGTGTATTCTCAGCTGCTAAAATTCCCTGAGTAAACATCTAGATACCTCCCGTCAGCTGCACTCCGAGCAAGAGACTAGCTCTGTGTTTTACTGTCATAAAGAAGTAAGTTAACATCGTTCTCACAATCCTTATATTTAAATAAGTAAAAAGTAGTGGTTGGAGATACTAGAAGAGCTAATATGRTTCCATGATCTGTGATCTCTTGAGTTTTTTATTTGTAAAAAAATTTAAAAAGAGAGAAAGAAGGAAAGAGAGAGAGAAAATGAAAGGAAAAAGACAAATGAAAAGGAAAAATGGGAAAAGGGGAAAATGGGAAAACGGGAAAACAGAAGTAGGCCAGACAAACTCCGTGACTTCCTATATTTTCAGAATTCTAAACTTAAATTAGCTCTTCTATCAGCAATGCTTTTTCCCATGCATAAGTAGGAAAGGAGACTAGAAGACTAGACAGCCAGCACYGAAATAAGAGTGACTCAGACCAAGAGGATTCATTTCCCAATTCTTCTCTGTAGAATTAGCACTGTGAAAATTTGCCCTGTGCTTCTGCTACCATCTACCCCAAAACAGAGAAAAGCTAGTGAACGCAAGGAAAATCTGAGTTTACTGAGTCACTACCCAACCACATAAGAAGCTTGGCTGACGCCCACAAATTAAGTGAAACTGCCCAAGTATCACACAATATTCAAACTACCCTTCACATATCAAAACCTGGAAATAAGATAGAAGGAAGGTGCACCTTTAGAGGGCAGAAGTAAATGAGGATTCACTTTGCCCTGACAAGGCCACTGCCTTCTGGAAGCTGCCATGCCGTACAGTGTCAGTCTGACTTTTCACCTGCTCTGATTTGACACACAGTTTATGAGGAGCTCTTGCTGCAGCAAGTAGTTAAGAAGACAAATACTATTCTCATGATAGGGAAGAGGATCAAAAAGGGAGAAGGGAAAAGTGTTATCTCCTCTTTTATTTGCACTTCCTTGCACTCCTCCTCTTTGCTAGAGGTCCCACAGGAGCATTCTCCTATTACAATGGCACGTTCTCCTTGAAGGGGAAAACAGCACTTGCAAGYCCCGCTCTACAAGGGAAAGCTGAACACTGTGTGCTCAACAATTTCTTCTCCAAGTAAAGCAGTATTTCTTATGCATRCACAGGATGCACAGAGATCTCCCAGCAAACAAGGTACAAATATTTAGCAATGCATAAAAAAGGCTTAAAGAATAATGCAAAAATCCCCTAATCATCTGCTTATTAGATGCTTCCAGGAAATTGGAAGACTTTTGAAACTGAAGGAATGAGATATGCTCATGTAAAACAGTGCTTCAAAGTTAATGGTATAATCCAAATCCAACTGGACTTTTTCCACTCACTCTTACAGGCTTTGGATCAATCCCTGGAAAAAAAAAAATCTAATCCTCAGCACAGTCAAGAAAACCTTCAGTATCCTACAAAGCTTTCCCAAAAGCTGAACACTCTCAGCTGTTTCCAAGGGCACTCCCCGATGTGCAAGCACTATTCAGACTGGAGGAGAGAAAGAGGGAATATTCAGTTCTAGGGAGGGAAGGGATTGTCACAATTTAGAGCACAGTCAACTGGGATTTAAGAAGCTAGAGACAGGCAGCAGCCTCCAGCAGATGAAATCTAATAAAATTTCAGCAAATGGGTACATTATTCATGAAGACAAAAGCCTCTGGAGAAACAAACACAGAGCTGATGTAAAGCAGATATTTTAATCAATAAACCTGTAGCTGAAACCATCTGCACCAGGCCTATTTAAAACCAGCCATCTACAATTTAAAGGCCAAATAGCAATCCATGTGCAGCAGTTCTGCTGCTTCCTAGGACTATTTCCCCTTCTTCCTGCTTCAGTATTGTAATT